TTGTTGTTGTTGTTGTTGTTGTTGTTGTTGTTGTTGTCGTTGTTGTTGTTGTTGTTGTTGTTGTTGTTGTTGTTGTTGTTGTTGTTGTTGTTGTTGTTACTGTTGCTGTTGCTGTTGCTGTTGGTATCTCGAACTGTTGTTATGTAACTGTTCTGAGATAATAATGAATGTAATGACAGAACAGTCCAACTTTTCTTCTGATCACTAGATCGTCCTGTTTGAAATTCAGCAAGCATTCAATCGTGTTAAAGCATTTACAAGAAACGTTTTCGATTATAAGCGAGGGAGCTTTGATGAACTCCGAAGCTATTTAATAACACACAATCCTCTTGAAACTTATTTCATCGGACAATATCAATGAATGTTGGTTGCAGTGAAAACATTGGTTTTTAAGCGCACTTCATAAATTTATTCCCGTAAAAAATGTTATGGATGCCAACTCACCACCTTGGATTGATAGAGAAGTGACACATTTCATACGAATAAAATACTCTGTCTTCTTCATACGAAAAAAATACTCTGTCCTAAAGAAATATCGCAAATGTCGCACAGAGTATCGCAAACGAAAGTTATGCCAAATTAGTCAAATCATCAAATACCTTGTGAAAAGAAAACACCGTGACTATCTACTCAAAATTCAGGACTCTTTTCGAGACAACCAGAGGCTATTTTGGAGTTATCATAAGGCGGTTTTCGATCATCGATCAACCCAAACTCCAGCAATTTCCTACAAGGGTAAACTGGCAGAAACAACTTCAGATAAAGCTGAACTTTTCTACTGTTATTTCTCTTATGTGTTTCAACCTTCAAAATACAATCAACATCAAGCCTCCAAATTTTCCTCGTCCCAATTACGAATTGATGCTCAACTACTGGAGATGGACTTTAGTGAACACAACGTCGCTAATTGCCTAAGAAATTTTGACACATCCAAAGCTAGTGGTCCCGATGGAATTCCTGTGCGTTTTCTAAAAGAATGCAGCCAAAAAATCGCTCCGAATCTTTGTTCTTTCTTCAACCTCTCCCTACAATCTAGTTGGATTCCTTCCGAATGGAAATCAGCAGACATCACACCGATCAATAAGGAAGATTCGAAGGAGCCAGGGGAAAACTATCGGCCCATTTCGTTACTGTAAATTGTCGTTAACGTCTTGGAAGGCTGTGTGCACTTTACATTTCACGACCACATGTTCTACATCACATTAGCCAAGCTCAACATGGTTTTATTCGAAAACGCTCGTATGTAACTCAACTGCTATCAATATTCCACACTATTGGATCTAGCTAGATACGAATACTCAGACTGACGTCTTCTTATTGTATCTTGATTTCGCTAAGGCTTTCGACTCCGTTGATCATGCAATCGTTCAGGAGAACTATGTGGTTACGGTGTAACATGACCAGTTTTGGGTTGGTTCGCAGACTATTCGAGTGGTAGGACTCAGAGAATCGTTGCTGATGGTGTGGCTTCGACATGGTCACCAGTCACCTCTAGAGTGCTTCAAGGAAGTATTCTCGGTCCGTTATTGTTCTTCATCTTCATTAGCGATCTGCCAGATGTTGTGCAAAATGGAACTGAAACGGCCCTGTATGCTGACTATACTAAATTGCACAATAAAATTAACTCTACTGATTACTGCAAATGTTTGCAACAATCGTTGACAACTCAACAAGGTGGAATTTCATTCTCAACCAATCTGCCCTTTTGTTTACATTTTTACTTTAATTAAGCCAATCAAAATGCGTCATCACATGAAATTTGTAAACAAACATTTGGGAATCATATGGAGTCACTTCAGAGCTTTGCTGCCAGCGGTTTTTTGTTTCTTTTTTGCCATGAAATTGATATATGTTGTTCTTAAAAGAGAATTCTCCACAACTTCCTTGTGGGGTTATTTGATTAATTGCGTGATTGCGAAGATACGGTTCTTCAAACTTTGCCTTGCGCAAGCTTAAATACTATCCTTCAAATTTGTAGGTTACGAACGGATTAGAGTTTTAAAAGCTTTTCAAATCGAGGTTTGAGAGGTTTTATTTTTGAAAATATACTTTTGTCTTCATATTTTCACATTAACTTATTAATATCCTGTGTAAGAAGTAAACAGGACACTTCCGGTCCGGGACAAGTTGATATGTAGATTTCTTGCTGAACAGCGTGGCGATCAATATGAGGTATATGATGTCCTATCCCATCCTGCTAATATCCTAGCTATATAAGCACCAGTTTTCGATCCATTGCAAGAAATTCACCATATACAATAAGCACTCTATCCCAACCAGGCAACATAAATTTGGCTTCAAGCATGTGTATTGCATAGCCTAGATCATATGAGCAGGTCTCCAAAAGATCCTGGGACTATAATTGGAACATTTTAGTCCATAAATTTGTGCATAACCAGAATACCGTTGCACAAATGAATATTTTACACGTATTATATGATGACGTAATCCCATATTAAACCTCCAGTAACCTCACAAATAGGCCTCCCTTCCGAAAATAAGCTTTCCCTTCCAAAACTAAGCTCTCCCTGTTAAGGCCAACCTCGTTCCCAGGGTATTTAGGAAATACCCTGGTATGGGCTGGTCACGTGCCTCGTCCAAAATTTAGCGCCCAGCGGGTGAGGGGAAAGTATCAAATTACATGATTCCAGTTGAGATATTTTGTTTAACAGTTAAAAACATTAATTTGGGAATTATTATGTTCAAAATACTTGCTAATTTGTGTTTAATTTCTTTGCTTTGAATTCACAAGAACATTCTTACATTTTTGCCAACAGTCAAGTCAAGAAACCAAGAAAATCGTTACTCACAGTGCTCTCTCGTGTTGTTATTCAATGCTGTCTCTTCACACCCGAGCGCGGTTTTATAACAAACATTTTTGAGCTTTCCAGTCATCATTTTTACATATGTAATGTTTTTAAACTACGCCGTTAGATTTGTCCTTTCTTGTAAATGTTTATATGCTTTGCACCGATTTAATTACTTGTTACTACGTCTACGCGTCTTGTTTGTAAGATTGAAAGAAACAGTATCGTATTGTCTGGGACTAGAGCCCAATATTAGCAAATGTAAACATCTGATACTAGCCAAACAGAGAAAGTCTGTCAGTAATTATAAAATTTTGGATTTAGTTACATAGTATTCGGTAATTTTAGTCAGGCCTTAGCCTTTTTCGTGGTCTTTATTAATCATAATCTTTTCCTAATATACTAAATCTATATATCACAAATTTACAGTGTCAGACGCGCACAGACTGTCATACGAATAAACATAAATTTTCGAGTTTTCTACTTCTACTAACATTTTTAAAGTTTTCATTGTGAATCATATGTTTATTTCTAGCTCATTAGTCATTAATATGCTCTAAACACAAGGCTCTCAAATATATTTGTATACTTATTTGATAGTGTCATAGTGATATATGCATTTGCAAGCAATCCTCATGGATATTATAAAGACGATACAAGCTGAATACCGTTATTGGTAAAAATGGTAAAAAATAACGGCATTCTTTAAATCTCACTTGTATTATTAAGAATATATATAATTAAAGCAAAAAATTTAAACTTGTGTCGGTTGTGTCAAAACGAAAGCTGTTTATAAAATTTATAAATGTTGTAAACACTATACTATTAATATAAAGTGCCCATTAAAAGACATAATATAATATACTGTCGTTTGACTTATCTTTGAATTGATGTATGACTTTAATACCGTAGATTTTCAACAGACAGCTAGACTTTAACATATACCATGATTATCGAGTTTCAGCAATGCCAAGGGCCAATGAAGGCAATTTTATAAGCTTTTCAATATAGTCAACATCTGGATACAGTTGGCGTCTTGGCGATATTTCGGAACTCAAAAGATCTCGCTATTTCGTTGCAATTCCACATCTCATCAATAAATAAATCCTTTTGGTTCGAGTATCAAGATATACTTTACTAACAGTTAAATAAATGAATAACCACATTGTTCGGTCTAGATATATATTTTTTCTTGTACTGCTAGTTTTATATATAGCCACGTCGTCCACGCGTGCTTTCTCAGCGACAAGTCTATTAGTTGGAATCTGATCCAACTTGCTTGAATTGTAACTCGACACTAGATTATAGAGTAGAAAGTCACATCACGATAAATATTAATTTTTAATTCCCAATCTTTTCACGATTTCTTTGAAGATTCAATGGGTATTGTATATATTTATAGAGCGATCTAATTAATTGTGACAATATATACTCACTCCCCCGACCCTAGTTAACAATATTCTATTTTACCCAAAATCTGCGTGTGACGTCATAAGTCCATTCCAGGGTATTTCGCTTCAGCAGGGAAAGAGCGAATACCCCGGGAACGAGGTTGTCAAAATAGGCCATGCTAGCTCAGCTTACATGGCTGGATTTTCTTTTCAGGGCTAGTTTGTCATTTGCCTCCCAGGAGCCAGGCTAACCTACTGGCAAGTATTGACAAGAAATTTGTGCGCAATTCTAGTTAACTTGTTAATGGCCTAATGGCAACAGCATCAGAAGGCTTATATTAATTAATTTCTTACTTATTTTGGCAAAAATTGTGTATTATAAAATGATTTTTAGTCTAGTGAGCTGTTTGACCAGCTTATGTATGACCTTTAGTGCAAGACTCCAGTGCAGGCCTGGATGTCAACTTGCAGCTCAAGCAGAAGCTGGGCCAGTCAATTCGACGAGGCTAGTTCTTGTGAATGCAATCTCAAAAATATATAAAATTAATATACGAGGCAGTAACTCACCACGGGCAGGTATATATCTAGCCCATATAAATGTACAAGACCTGTAATATCATACTACAATTCCTGGTTGATTCTACAAGATTGTGGCTTAAAATGTTCCGGTTCTAGTGTCTGTTGATATGATTTGGGCTAGGCAGCATGGAACCCTGAAGACAAGTTCATGTTGCCTGGTTGGGATATAGTTTTTCCTGTAATATTAATGGTAAATTTCTCGACTTGTATAATTGGGATTCTGGCAACGGATACCCTCCTCGCTTAGCCAAGATAGTAGTAGGATGGCATATCAACAATAGTTATACTGGCAAATGTTGTCTCCTGCTCAGCCAGGTCATAAGAACAGGCTCAATTTGTGACTAGTGAGCCAGATTAAGTAAGAAACAATGAGGGTCCTAAACATAATTTTTATATGTGTCTTTCCTTAATTTTAGGACTGCAAGACCAATGAATATGATGTCATTCAAGAATTAAAAACAATGAAGACAAGTGTTTTTGTCAGACAAACGAAAATATTCATGTTCACAGGCTGCAACACAATGTTGATACATTATCGTGAAGTTGACCAAATGTCGAAATCAATGAAAAACGAGACAATTAAGAAACAGTTATTGTACTAAGTTGAGGAGAATTCTTTTATTTAGCGCAACATATATCAATTTCATGGCAAAAAAAAACCCGCTAGCAGCAAACCTCTGAAGTGACCCCATATGATTCTCAAATGTTTGTTTGCAAATTTCATGAGATGGCACGTTTTACGCATTCTGATTGGCTTAAAGCAAGAATGTAGACAAAAGCGCTGGTTCGACGAGAACAAAGTTCCATCTTGTTTGACAAAATAATCTGGATCAAGTCAAGTTTGGTCGCTCATAACATCCAACTCTCAAAGCGGGTTGAAAGAACGCGACATCGGGCGACAAAATGGACCATGTTGCGCAGGAGAGCTGACAGAGATACAAAGAACGTCTATTGGCGTTGGACCTTCTGCCGTTAATCTTCGACAGGGAGGTAAAGGATTTAGTGTTTCTGTACAAGGCTTTGCTTGGTTAAGTAAATGTTGATGTGAGCAATTGTGTCTGAGTGACAGACACCCCAAACTACATTCTACAAAATCCAATTTTTTGAACAAGTACTTTTCAATCCTCGCACTATAATCGTGTCGTCAAACTGTGGAACGTTGTATGTAAATATATATATTGGACACTGTTTCTAGTCCTAGTTCTTTTAAATGTTTAGCTAAACGTAGATACTCCACAATACTCCAGTATTGTTGATTCTATTTATGATGTTGACTTGCCAAGTACGTGGTCCTTTTTTCGTAACTGTTATTAAATTGTGCTCACTAGCTAGGTGTGTGTAGAGTTGTGTGTGTACTGT